AGTATATCGGACTGAAATACGGGCAGTGACCGCAGCGCAACGAATGCGAGTCAGCTGCCTGTCGAGGCCGTGTCGTGGGCGTGTCGTGGGCGTATCGGGGGCGATTCGGGGGCGAATCGTGGGCGAATCGCGGGCGTGTCGAGGACGTGTCGAGGGCGTGTCGGGGGCGTGTCGGGGGCGTGGCGAGCAGAGTGAAGGTCGGAGTGTATCGGCGGGCGTGTGCTGGGTGTGGCACCGGCACCAGCGGGTGAAGGGAAAAGGCGGCGAGGGGAGGGACGCGTCTCGGAAGTGTCTCGGAAGTGTCTCGGAAGTGTCTCGGAAGTGTCTCGGAAGTGTCTCGGAAGGGTCGCGGCACCGCCCAGGAGCAGCTCGAGCATCTGCTCGCTCGGCATCGCCTCCAGCGCCCCCTCGTCCGGCAAGCACCACGCGCCCGCGCCGTGCGCCTGCACGCCGCTCCTCTTCCGCCCTCGCTTCGCCGGCGGCGGTCCGTCGCGGGAGGCCCCGCCCTCGCTCCGCTTCGCGCTGTTCGCCGCCGCGGCACTCGGGTGGTTCTCCTCCTCGCTGCCGCGCTCACGCTTGCGCCGCGCCGCCTCGAGCTGCTTCGCCTCCGCCGCCGCGCGCTTCTCCGCCGCCGCCCTCTCCCTCTCCGCCGCAGCCGCAGCCTTCTCGGCCGCCGCCTTCTCGGCCGCCGCTGCGCGCGCCGCCTTGGCCTCCCTCGCCGCCTTCTCGGCGGCCGCTTTTGCAACGGCGCGCTCCTCCGCCAGCCGAGCGCGCTCCGCCCGCTTCTGAAGGTGAGGGAGGCGAGGGCGGCGAGGGCGGTGAGGGCGAGGAGGGCGAGGGCGGCGAGGGTGGCGAGGGCGGCGAGGGCGGAGAGGGCGGAGAAGGCGGAGAGGGTGGCGAGGAGGGATGGAGTCGATGGCGGTTGGGGCGGCGGCGGCGGCGGCGCGCGACGGGGCGGAGTGTGCGATCTCCATTGGGCCTCTCACCTGCATCCGGAGCTTCTTAGCAGGCCCCTCTGGCCGCCCCTTCGGCTTGCAGACAGGCACCTGCGGAGCAGGGCCGCAGGGGAGAGTGGTGGCGGCTACGGCGTGGTCGGAGGGTGGCGGCGGCGGCGACGATGGCGGCGGCGGCGGCGGCGGCGGCGGCGGCGGCGGCGGCGGCGGTTGCGCGCCTCTCCGTTTGCTGCCATCTCTTCGAGGCGCTTGAGGCGCTTCTGCCTGCGCATCTCCGAGTTCCACCGGTTCTTGATGGCGTTGTCGGTGCGGCCGGGCAGCAGCTTGACGATGAAGGCCCACCTGCAGGGGGTGATAGGCGGCGAGGGTGGGTTGTGGGCGAGCGAGGCGGCGAGGGAGGAGACAAGGGAGGCGGCGGGTGGGGAGGCGTGGCGGCGGCGGCGGGGCTTGAAAGCGATGGCGGCGGCGGCGACGGTGGCGGGTGACGGCGAGGGCGGTGACGGCGAGGGCGAGGGCGGCGAGGGCGAGGGCGAGGGCGGCGAGGGCGACGGCGAGGAGGGCAGCGGCAGCGGCGGTGGCGGCGGCGGCGGCGGCAGCGGCGTTGGCAAACCTCGTCCCGTGCTCGCGCACGCTCTCAAAGATGACGCGGTCCTCCTCGGGGGACCAGCCGCCCTTGCGCACCTGCACGCGCCGACGACGTGCGTCAGCGGGGAAGCTCCCTCCCTCCGCCAGCATCTTCGGGCCCAGATGCTCCACCTCTGGGCAGAGGTTGTTGAACCAGCGCTCGCGGCACTGCTTGCCGGCACGCTCCACGCCTCCGCGAGCCGAGAGAGCGGAGGCGATGCTGGCCCACTTGTGCGCCCCCTCCCGCGCCACGAGCTCGGTCAGGATCGCGTCCTCCTCCGCCGCCCACGTCCCTTTGGTTCTCTTGTCGCCCTCCCCGCCCTCCTCCTCCGCCTTTGCCACGCCGTCCTTCTCCCCCGGCTCCGGCTCGTCGGTCTCGTCGCCTGAGCCGCCGCCGAACTTCACCAGGGCGGCGGCGTCGGCGTCGGCGTCGGCATCTTCCGAATCGCCGCCTGAATCCTCGGCTATGTCCGTGTCCTCGCCAGACGCATCGCTGCTCGTCACCGGCACGGCAAAAACCTCAGTCAGGTCGACCGCCTCCTGTGCCTCCGTGTTCTCCGGTGGCAGCTCTTGGGCAACAACTGTTGGCAGAGTAGGCTCCATCTTCGAGCCACTAACACCAGGGTGACGACGCTTTTCGAGCGGCAACAGGTGCAGCTGCGTTGTGTGCCTTGCTTGAGTGTGTCTACGAAAATGACGATTTTTCGAGCAACCCAATCGCCGTCGAAGCCGCGAGGCCCCTCTCCTCGCCCGCACAGACAGCCCGACATGCCAGAGACCGGGAGACCAGACTCGCACCCCAACCCAAGCCAGGGCCGCGCGCCACGGAAAGGCGGAGGGCGCCCACTTCATGGCGCCGCTCTCGGGTGGATGCTCTCGTGCCTCTCGCCCCGGAGTATGCCGAGAAGCAGGCGCGTGTTGGCGAGCGCGTTTGAGACAGTTGCGAGCCCGCGGGACGGGTCGTGTTGCAGGGCGGCCGCCGCCAGCTGCTGGTCGGAGCGCATGTGCGAGAGGAGGGGCAGGACGACGTCCGTGGCGCAGGGCGAAGGCGGCGGCGCCTACGGGACGCGCGAGGGAGGGGAGCTTGAGGGCCTGCGCAGCAGTGGGCTGAGGAGTGGCGGCGAGGAGGGGTTGCGGTTGGAAGGGGGAGGGGTGGGCGAGCGAGTGGGTAGACTGGGGATGGCGGTGGGGTGAGGGGTGCGTGGTTGCCTTGGCGCGGCACTCCTTCGAAGCGTTGGCCAAGGGCGCAATGATGAGCGAGTGCGGGATCGCGGGCATCCTCGCGGCGACCACACGGCGGAGCCGCTTCCGCGCCAGGCCGCCGCGCATCACGCGCTGCAGGTGGAGGGCGGAGCACGCGTACCACAGTCTCAGCGCGGCGCGAACCCTGACGCCACGCGAGAGGCCCGGTGAGCAAGGGAGGCGAGAGGCAGAGGCGGTCGGCGAGGCTGGGCCAGGTTTCTGAGTGGCCACCTGCCGCGGCCGACGGCGCCTGTCGTCTCTGCCATTAGTAAAGCTCTTCGCCTCCAGCTCCGCCGCAAACTGTGACGGCAGCAGCGGAGGGCGCCTCCCACCGCCCCGGGTGCACTCCTCAACGAGGCTGCCGTAGTCGTACTCCTTGTCCTCGCGCATTGAGCCGAGGTCGAGCGAGAGATCGCCATCCTTGGTCAGGCTCGCCCAGCTGCTCTCCGTGTAGCACCAGCCGCGGTCAAAGTACGCGGCCACGTTGGTGCCCTCGGGCTGGTCCTCCTTCTTGTGGTTCGTTGGGAAGGAGGTTAGCCGCAGCACGGTTGTTTCCGGGTGGGAGTAGAGCATGCCGAGGCAGCCCAGCCCCTGCTTGAAGAGCGCGTTCTGCTCCTCGGTGCGCATGACGCCGTTGGGGGGGTCAGGGTGCTGGTGCAGCGAACCGAAGTCCCAAAAGACGCCGAGCCGTGAGAAGGGGCTGCGAGTGAGTAGGGCCTTGAGCGCCGTTGCGACGCGGAGCAAGTTGTCGCCGAGTGGGTCTGGGTGGTCTTTTGTGAGCCACGGGTAGGAGAGCGCGGCGACGGGAAGTTCGAACTGCCCGGCCGCCTTGACGAGGTCGGCGAGGGAGAGGAAGGCCTCTTTGGGCAGCGCCTGGCGGTGAGTGAGGACGCCGCCCGCCTCGGCGTGGCTGATGATCCACTGCGCGTCGAGGAGAGCGACGGCGCCGCTCGCGAGGACCGGCTCCAGGTCGCCGCCGCCGAGCTTACGCCACCGCTCCAACTCGTCAACGCCGAGACCGGCGGGCACCACGAGTGCGCGAGGTCTCCGGTGTCTGGACGACTGACGTTTCGAATGGAGGCGGAGAAGGCACGGCAGAAACAGGAAGATGACGAGCGGGATGAGCACGGCGACGGCCACGACCCAGCCGCGCTTCTTGGCAGGCGCCGGAAGCCGAGGCGGCGTGAAGCCAGAAGTGACGATGGACGGGTTGACAACGAAGGAGGGCGTGGGCACGTTCTCACCGAGCTCCTCGCCGATGTTCTGGAGAAGGGTGCTAGGGTCGCGGGAGATGGCGTCGAGGATCTGCGGGGCGGTCTGCCCCTCCTTCGGGTAAATGGTCACCTTCAAGACGTTCGGGTTGCCGTCGACAGGCTCGACGGTGATCTGGTCGGTCGTGATGTCCGGCACCGAGTCGGCGATGGTGTCAACCACGGCAGTCTTGATCTTCTCAAAGGAGATGGTGAAGGTGACAGTCTGCTGCAAAGCGCGCAGCAGGCGGCGCGCAGACTCGAAGGAGATGGTGAAGGAGGTGATCTCGACTGGGACTAGACCCGGAACCAGAGGTGGGAGCGGCGGCGGCGAGGGCGAGGCGGAGGGCGGGCTCGGAGGCGGCGGCGAGGGCGACGGGTGAGGACATGCGAACATTTCTGAGTCGTAAGGATCGTAGCAGCTTGAGCTCACACAGTCCACGTCTGCGTCTGTTCTCCGAATGCTCCCGCCGGCGATGGCTGTCGGGCAGAGCTCCGCAGAGGCAGCGTACATCAGGAGCGTCCCGGTATAAGGATCCGCAGCTCGAAGCTGCCAAAGGCCGCTGAGGTAGGCGAGATAGTGATGGCGCGTGTTACTCTGCACATAGACCAACCGGCCTCCGTCAGGCAGCTGATCGCCGTCAGCAAGGGTGAAGAGTTGGTCCCCGAGGCTATACCTTGGTATTGGTTGCTCGGGAGAGAAGATACCCGTCGCACCAGCAGTGACGAGGGCTTCCGTGCCGCTGACGCTCACGTCCGAGCACAGGCAGGAGGTGGAGCGGCTAGACATCGAGCGCTTGGCAAGTCGCTGCAAGCGCGTCTCAAACTTATACACGTGACGTGATTGTGGATTCGGGGTTTTTATTTTATCACAGACCCCACACCGCGCCGCGCCGCGCGCGCACGCCCACCGCCCCGCCTAGGTCGGAAAGAGATGAGGGGATGGGACCACAGAGATATGGCGGCCGCCGCCGATGACCCGGCCCGCTGGGGCGGTGCGCTTCATAGCTCCCCGCTCCCTTCACCCTTGGCGCCATCTCGTTGGATGATGTTGTGAGGCCGCGTTGGGTATGTGCGAGGATTGGTGTGACGCGATCCCCCCACGAAGAAGAAGAAGGAAACTATGTATCTAGGAAGTGGAACCAGAAGATTTGGCAGAGATTGGGGGGGGGGGGGGGTACTGAGTTGGTGGAACGAGTTGAAGGGCTCGAGGGCGGCGAATTGGCACAGAGCCGAAGTCGAGTGCCGTGGCACTG